GCTCCATTTGCTCAGTGAGCATTTCTACTATGGTTGCTTGGGCAGGTCTAGGTAATATGGTGTCTGTGGGCAGCTTCCATGGTGCTTACCAGGCTCGCTAGTTGACAGGGGTGCTTAAAAGTTTGTGAACCCTTTTGAATTTTCAATATTTCTGCATAAATATGACCTAAAATGTGATCTATTCTCCATACACATCGTAAAACTAGATAAAGAGAACCCAGTTAAACAAATGAGTAAAAAAAAATTATACTTGTTCATTTGTGTGGAGAACAAATCATGTTTTAGGCCTTATTTATGCAGAAATATTGAAAATTCAAAAGGGTTCACAAACTTTTAAGCACCATTGTACTTGACTTTGTAAAAGATTGCATTGATTAGAAAAGAGCCCAGAACACAATCTTCTAGAACAGGGGCTTTCAAATTTTTTCAGGCCACAGAACCTGTTAGATTAAAAACAGAACCATTGGATCAGAGACAAAGTATAATAATAGAAAATTGGCTTTGTTTGAATGAACTTTTTTTTTTTTTTTGCTATTAGTTTATCATAAACCCCATCAAGTCTGAAAACCCTGTTTTAGTATCATTCTTACTTACAGTAATGTCTCTGGGCCCCACATAAATGCTGCATGAATTTTTAGAATATAAAAAGAATGAGTATCTTCAGCCGAGTGCTAATTTGTTTAAGGAAAAGAAGGATAGAGAAGCTGTCATAATAAGAGATCATCATAGGCTAAAGTGGATAGTTTTTAACCAGTTGGCCATCCATAAATGGATGTTATGTGACTGGGCATACCTATTATGACAGCATTTTATGATTGTGCAAGCAACTATTTAGTGAGAGTGTCCACAACATGCTCTCTAAATCTCAAATATGCCTTCAGAGCTAAAATGTTACTTATCTCTGCCCTACTTTGCCTGACCTGTGGTTCTCTTCCAAAAACAATATGGACACAGCCTAATGCTTCTTTGCATTGTCAGTCTTCCGTAATAAGCTGATGGTGAATTTTGAAAATCCTGGTGTTAAAATTCATTGTGCAGAGGTGGTTGTGAGGTACTGACATTATTAGACATTTCCACCCCCAAGTAGTACAGAGAGATCTTTCACATAAAGCCATGGATTTCAACAGATTAGGTCAGAGTGAGCAACAAGCAACTCCTACACTACATGCTTCCTGTGAACACTTTTTTGTGGCTTTCAGCTATTACGCTATTGAAGTTTGGTGACAAATGGTCTAATGGTGGAGACATGGTGTCCTCAGGCTAAACGCAGTTTAAACAGTATATATTTAAACAATTCCCAACCCCCCAACCCCAAAACTTAGCCTTGTACAGTTGCATGATGTCTTTGATAGACCATTCCAATTCTTGACTTTCAACAAATGAGGCTTCTGATGTAACCTTACATAGAATTTCAAGCTTGTTCAGTCTTATGAAATCTGACGAAGTAGATGACAGATATATTGCACCTCTTCATTTGGGGGAATAACTGTTGCCAGATATACTGTTTTTGTGTGGAGCTAGTGAATTTGTGCTTGTCTGTATTTTGAAACACTAATTAGCCTTCTAGAAACAGGCAACTAAGTGTGATTTTTGCATGTGCTTTGACAAAAGCATGTAATTAGAGGCCCCTATAGTTGAACAAATAGGATTTGGATAAGGCTGTAATGAAATTCAGTCTATGGAGTTTAATGGGCTATAGGGCAATATTGCTGGGGTCTGTTTGACCTTGGCAGTGTTTAATCAAGATATTTTGCCCTGTCAGCTGGCCCCAGATTTTATTTAACGTTTAAGAGGCAACTCCTTGGCCTAATCCATGATGCTACTTACATATGTCCTTCAGGTCATTGTTCCTCAGAAATTCCAAACAGAGAAAGAGGTATTTTGGCTCTATAGTTGTCGAGAAGGAAAAATGTGTATAATTAATTCTCCTTCCCATCTGAGACTGTGAGAAGAGCAAGAACTGTAAATGTCCAAGTTCAACAGGGCATGATTAGAAATAGTCACATGGATGCTTATTTTATTATAAACTACTTCAGGAGTTTTTATAGGAAGCAGCATACAAACGTTGAAGTGACGTTAATACTAAATCCTCCTTTTACCTGTTTTGGCTTCGAGATAACTTTCCAGTTAGGTAGATTTTGGCATATACTGTATTGAGATATTTATTGCAGAAGCATCAAAGGAACAGAGAATTTTGGTATAATTGCAGTAGAATCTAGAAGATTTCGGCCTGCCAAATTAGCAAGAATGACCTTTCACAGCTCTGTTTGTTGCTGCAACTATGGCATACTGAAACTCTAACCTATTAGGATTTTTCTATACTGTATTTTTATGATATGGATGAGAATCGGGAGCCCAAGTGTAAATTCTTCTAGATTGAGTGGCAAGTGCACTATCAGCAAATTGGACTTTGCAAAACTACATGTATTCAAGGGACATAGAATTGTGATGCCATGTAGCTGGGTCTTAGTTTTTATATGAAATGTATGTTTTTAATGTTTTATCAATGTAGAAAGCACAACTTTTTGAATGTGTTTATACATGTTTGTAGAAAAGCTAATCAAAAGCTGATTCCAAAATACAAGATTCCAAGATCTTGGAAATCCAGTCCCTATATATTCCCTTTTTCATGGAGAAAGTCAAAATAATGTTGT